ATATTGTATATATATTTACATATGCGAGGCGTACGTCCCTTCGAGTCGCCTTAAGTCGCTTTAATAAATAATTCAAGAACGCACGATGCGATTTAAGCGGTAAGTGGAGTGGTTTAAAAAATATATCACAGTCCTGTTTTGTTCGGAGGAGTTTTGCTGAATCGAATCCTTTTTTTTTTTAGCGGCACAGGTGCTCTTGAATATTTTTCAGTGTTTCTCAAGCCGGCTTGTGTTTGTTTTTCAAATCTTTTTTTTATTGTGGGATGGGTGTTGGGAGCCTGCGGTGGCTCTGTGCTGTCTGTATTATTACCGCCTAGTGCAAAACACTGACTAAACCTCAAATAATGTTCTCAACACGTACTAACTGTCTTAATATTATTTGTTGTAGATATAGAAGCCGACGGCCCCGACGAAGCGACAACGAAAGCTTTGGATCGTTCGGCTGGCTCGAAGCGCACCGAGCCCGTCGATCGTACAAACTTTAATAAATATTATTACTACGGCGGTGGCTATTCTGGCCAGTTGTGGCTGTTTGTATTGTTGGGCACCGTGATTAATATTATTGCAGCGGTCGTCTTGGCAAAATTGTTAACAGTTCGGATCGGATCGTTCGGATCGGCTTGGATCGCATTCGATCGCTCCGAATCGGGGGCATGCGCAGAAGATAGACGCCGCCTCAGTCGTTCTTATCAGACTAGATTAAGCGGATTCGACTCACACACACACACACACACACACACTCGCACACACATAAAGCTACGGCCGGGTATATAATTCAAATTGTTTAATGGCACATATAATAAAACCATATCTGTGTATATTTCTTTCGGGCTTTGTGTGTTTTCGAGCTTTCATTAAAATAAATAGTTTTTATTGCTTATTTTTGTACACAATTTCGAAGATTACCAAAAAGTTGGGAGCTCCAAAAGGTCTGGCGAAGCTTATCACGGTAAATGGAAAAAGGTGCTTAAAAGCGTTTGTTTTTATAGAGCATTAAGATTCTATAAACAAATTTTAATTTATTGCAGTGAAATTGGTTTCATTAGAATACCATATATGTATGTACGCAGAAAAATTTAAAATAAACTATACAGACTTAAAATACTACCATTTCAGAATGTAAAAAAAAAGTTTGAAAGAGTAAATGGATTTTCGTAGAATCCTTCAAATCATAGATTAAAAAGGTTTTTATCCAAAAATCTTTCAAATTAAAGGATTCTCTGATATTTATTATATAATAATACGAGTATAATTCTTCAAACTTTTTTATGTTGGCTTAGCAAGTGAAATGTGTATCTCGTTTATTTTATTTGTAGATCACTTCACTTTCAGCTCGACAAACAGTGAATCTGGTATCTCCGTCCGTAGTTGCTTATCAAACCCGGAGCTGCAGCCCCGTCGCCTCAGACAGAGAAAGAAAGAGATAAAGATAGTGAGGGAGAGGGAGAGAGGCCTGCATTCTATATATACGTATATGGGGAGACATTATAATAGGTCGTTGTTTCTGATGATATAGTCTTGGCTGCGTTTCGATTAGTAAGCGCCTTAAGCTAAGCCGTTCAAGGCACTCGCCTCTCGTTCGCCTATCGGTGATTTTCTGAAAAGCAGAACTCGGAAAATTCCGAGTTTTGAGAGATACCCGTGAAAATCCGATGACGGTTGACAGGGGCTCTTCAAATGATTTGTTTGGCTTTTCGGTTGCTTCGGCCGCAACGCTGATTGATACTTCTGATTCAATTGAATATAATTTGCTGTCATTCAACACCGCCGCATGCACTATCGCAGTCAGCTGGTCGTCGTCGCCGGGCGTACTTTATACGCCGGAATTTCTGTGACGAAACGGAGCTCCACAACAGCCCCAGTTGCCCACTCACGGTGCACTTTGCTTCTTTCCATTCCATGCCATTTCGAGCGCCGCCTGATCGGCGTCATCATCATCGGACATCGGCAACATCGACAGCGGCTTTGCGGAAACTTGATACGATTATGATGGGGCGACTCTGGTGGCAACAAAGGGGTTGAGTTGGCTAATTGCCATTCGCAGCAAATTTTGATTGAATGTCATAAGCCTCAAGCGAGACAATTTTAACAGGTTTGTCAAAGCTATTTCAAACTACTGAGTGAAAAAAAAATACGTTTGCCAGATTTTTTAGCAAAGAAAATTACATGCACTGCAATCTGTATTAACATTTTTCATCACTCCTTCATATATTCATTATATTTTCCCACAAAAAAACTTAATTTTGTGGCCTCTCTTGGTTCGGCATTGAGGCAAAACATCATCTGGATGATCCCTTGAAATGGGGTTGCGAGATTGCATTAAGTGCAATTACAAAATATGTTTACACACTCCCATTTGTAATCTGTGTGTGTGGCTGTGTGTAAGCCGCGCGATCAGGACATGACGCATATGTTTTGGTTTGAATATAGCTCCCAACCAACCGATCCGAACCGCATGAATCACAACCAAACACAACAATTGTCGCCACAATCGGCAAACCGAATTCGAATCCAGCAACTCCGGCAGTTGCTATCCGAGAGATACGTTTCCTGGGGTGTGGTGGTGATGAAAATAAAGTACATAGTCAGAGGAAAACAGCAACAGAAAGTGTGGAAAACAACGGGGAAAGAGATAGAACTCGAAGAGAATAAAATGCATGTCATGTTCGAGCTGATGGCTGTCGCTTTTCCCGGCCACATGTGGCGACCCTTGCCGGTTTGCAATTTCCAAGGAATTGTGAAAATTAGCCAAGCCAAATGCACGCTGTTCTGCCTTTGCCCGTATTTTTTATTTGTCATTTTTCTTTTCTCTTCTGGGATCTTCTGGTGGTGCTTCGCCGAGTGCATTTTGTGCGAAAACTTATTATATTATTTGCATACATTTCTATAGAGACAACAGCACGTTGAAGAAAGAATCGGGCTCTCGGCCTCCGTGTATCCATGGGATACACATGTGATTTGCATGTGCGGTTCGTCATCGGCTTCATGATCACGATCACTCGTCGTCGGCCGACTGGCACATGAATGCAATGGTGATGATGACGATCGCAATAATAATGACGACTATGGTATTCATAATGTTTGACTGCAATTTACTATTTACACTTCATTTAGCGGCGACAACTTTAAGTGAAATGTGTCCACATTGGCTGAGTGCTTTGCTCGCCTTTCCTGTATCTGTGAGATGCTCGCCGGGGCAATCTCCTGCGTGAAACAATAGAATATAATGGGCATCGCAATTGAATAAAGCTGCCCGCAGCTCCAACTAATTGGAGAATTAGCTCAAGTGTGAGGATAGCACGGCCAAGTGGATTGTGTAAGAAGCGAATCTCTGAAATGGGTTCAGGTACTCCACTCAAAAAGCTTTTCACTCGCTCTTGTTCTAAACATTTGCTTAATGCCTCGGTCATTAGTTCATATAACATGAAAACTACTCAGAGAAAAACTATAACTTATACCTTAACCTTTCAAAACAGATTCTTATAAGTTATAAGACATACATTTCCTATTTCCTCCACTATCAATCAGCTAAAGCAACCTTTATGAAACCCACTTCTTGGCAATAGTTTACCATTAGCCATCAATGTTGTGTGCAATATCAATATAATACTTATCTGGCGGTCATTCTGTTTTTTAACCTACATACATATATATACGCTTTACGATTGCGAAACCCTTCCAGACCTCAAGCAAAGTGACATATTTGTTTACTTTATATCAAAAGTGACGCAAGGCACTTCCTTGGTTATCTAGCATGGAAATTAATGAATGTCTAAAGCGGATATCATTAAAATAGGCACAAAAATATATATATTTTTGTGGGTTAGTTCCCTAGTTTGTCTGGCATTGGGGCTATATACCGTCTCAGATAGCAGAAAGCGGCCTTTTTAATTATAACGCTTGACCCAAAACGAAAACGAACCATAACAAAATAAAAGACCTCAATGAATCGATCGGCGGAGATTTGCGAAAGCCGAGCCGAAGGCGAATGCAAATCAATGGAGTTCGCGTCTGGGCGATAACCCCCATATCATATCAGCAGGGTGGGAGAGTCGCCCGGTCTGTCAGTTGTCGGTTCTCGGTTCTCGGTCCTCGATTCTCGATTCTCGATTTATATAGCATATAGATAGGCCCGAGCCCCTGAACCTCTCCCATGCATAATGCCGTGGAATTACAGGAGGCATAAAAAGGTGCGAGGGAAAAGTAAATGCACTCGTCATGACATCGACTAAGGTGACACAAGCCCCAATCGAAACCTGGGCTGTAGCTCCTATAGCTATGTAGACAGCCAGGCTGATCGTCTCTATAAATATTCAACAACTGTGAGACGGCTTGTAAGCTGGCCGTATGTATATATAGTAAGCACCGGGTATTTAGTCGCACCGTGTATTTGCCATTGCGCATATTTAACCCTTCGGGGTTAAGTTAAACATTACGATTACGATTGTCAGCGCTTAAAATTTGTGCTCGTTTCCCCTGCTTTTTTCACAGCCCTTTCTGTGCTGGCACTCTTTTTCCATCTGTGCTCCGCTTCAATTGTAACTTTTATTCCATCACCGGCGGTTGCAGCAGCAGCAACGCCAGCAAATTTTCCTAATCAATAAACAAATTATAAACATTTACAATGATTGCAGGCTTATCGGCTGGAAAGCGGTCTTATCAAGGCCACGGCGCTCTATTTTTAATACCACCGTCGTACTATCAGATTTGAACACGATTCTGTTGCCACACGTGGCACGTGTTGACTGCATAAAGAGTTTTAGCTTGTTAAGTCATAAATTAATCAAAAAACTAACCGAAAATGTGAAGTATTTAAAAAAATAATAATTTGTAATTCATTATAATGTTTTATAGAGTAATATTAAAATGAACTGAAACTTTTGTATGAAAAAAATTTAAATGCGTTTATAAGTATGACATCACTAGTATTTTAAGAGAGAGTTTAATACAGGCAACATTCGTTTGAACGAATTATAAGTTGTTTTTGACTGTAAACTTACCAGGAGTTGCACGATCCTGCTCCATTTTCTCCACCTTGTTGACCTTCATTAGCTGCTGGCCATCCGTGACACTCAGATCCTGCGGATGCTTCATGGTATGTTGAGTTTATATTTACAGAACGGTCGAAAGGATCCAGTCACATAGTCATAAAGTCATGCCCGGCAACTGTAAGTGGGAAAGGAAGTTGATTAGCTATCGTATATCAATCTATAGCTGGCTAAACCCGCTCACCGCTGAGCGAACCCATTAAAGTTTTTAATGATGGGCCGCTAATCGAACTGAAGTGTCGCCTGTAAATCTACAAGTATATGGGTCTGTATGCCGTTTGTGTACACAATGTAGGTGTCAACTCGAGTGCCCGACAACAAAAAGCCACACATTACACGACCCCCGTCGGATATTTTTAGTGGGGAGGAGACATTTGCTTTACGATCCATATCAGCAATACGCCAGGCACACCTGAACCAGGCATAGCACTTGGTAAACTTCTATAAACCAAAGCCACACTCCCAATCAAGTATTAAGACTCAAAAAAAGGTAACACAGAAACCCAAAAAAAATACCCAAAATCATAATCTTCAATGCTTTATAGACTGGCTCTCGGGCAGATAAAAAAGAGAGAAGGTAAAAAGAATGGAAAAAAAAAATCGCTCATTGCCGATAACGTGGAAACAGAATTTCTCATTATCAGACATTTATTGTTTCTTCTGGCCATTTACCATTATGTGAATTTGTTATTCTCGCCCGACTTTTGCGATTTTTGCTCGAGTGCCAGAACAGCCGATAAGCCCCTTGGGCTCTACGGGTTCTATCGCTATGGCCGCGTTCTCTCTGCTCCCCGTATCTCCCTTTAATTCCTATCTGATATCGCTTATCGGCGTGCTACTGACGCAGACCCCCTCGGTTGCACTGTCATTCCGTGACCTTTGAACCCTTGGGACTGTCGCGAGCCGCCTTAAAAGGCGCCAAAATAAAAGTCACTAACCAAACAGAACGCTTTTGTTGCAGGAGCTAAATTTATACTTACACTTTGTTAAATTAGTAAGTCTAGCTTGCAAACTTGAAAAAAGTGTCATCCATGTCTTAGCTAAATTTCTTTCATCTCATTGTATGCTTAATTTACATTTGTGGTTAACACACATTATATTACCTATTATATTGACAAACTTCACAAGCCCCCAACAACTAAGTTTGTTTGTGTATTCAACACCCCTTTCAAGTCTTCTTAGAACTAAACTTCATTTCGATTTAACACATTTGGCAGAACCGAATCACTCACAACATCCTCGTTTACTGTTCGCATCAACATCATAAAATATTTCTCTGAATTGTTATTTTTCCTTTTAGAACTCTAAAACTCCAAATTTAATAATGTGTTCCCGCGATCCGGCCTCCAATCAGCTAATAGACTACAAGAACAATGACTCCGAGGTGCAAAAGGAGATAACCTCATCGAGTGGAATTCCAGTTGGTGTCAAGGATGCCATCCAGACAGTGGGTCCAAGGGGACCGGCTTTGCTTCAGGATTTTCAGTTCATCGATGAGCTGATGCACTTCGACTCGGAGCGAATTCCCGAGAGGGTCGCCTATGCCAAGGGAGCTGGTGCCTTTGGCTACTTTGAGTGCACCCACGACATTTCCAAGTTCTGTGCGGCCACGATCTTCGATAAGGTTAAGAAGCGTACTGCCATTGCCATGAGGTTTTCGGTGGCTTGTGGCGAACAGGGTTCTGCGGATACGATCCGGGAAAATCGTGGATTTTCCATAAAGTTTTACACCGATGACGGCATCTGGGACATAGTGGGCTGCAACATGCCCGTGTATTATGTGCGGGATCCCTCGCTCTTTCCCAGCTTGATCCATGCCCAGAAGCGCAATCCCCAGACCCATTTAAAGGATCCGGATATGTTCTGGGATTTCATGACCCTTCGACCGGAGACACTTCATGCCCTGCTAATGTACTTCAGCGATCGGGGAACTCCCGATGGATATCGCCACATGCACGGCTATGGAGTTCACACCTATCGCATGGTCAACCCAAATGGGGAGACGCAGTACGTCAAGTTCCACTTCAAAACGGATCAGGGCATCAAGAATCTGGATAGCCGACGTTGCGATGAGCTGATGGCCCACGATCCCGATTATGCCATCAGGGATCTTTATAACTCAATCAAGAAAGGCAACTATCCCAGTTGGTCCATGTATATTCAGGTATGATTAGAACTTGATAGGGGATTCCAATGGGTCTTAAATTTGTTACTCTCTTTGTTCAGTGGTTTTTAGATATAAACTATAAATTATGTTTAATATAATTTAATTCTAAATATTAGGTGATGCTTAACGAGGAGGCCAAAAAGTGTCGTTTCAACCCGTTCGATGCGACCAAGGTGTGGCCCCAAAAGGACTTTCCGTTACTACCAGTGGGCAAACTCGTGCTGGATCGCAATCCCACCAACTACTTCACGGAGGTGGAGCAGCTGACCTTCAGTCCCGCCCACATGGTTCCCGGAATCGAGCCATCCCCGGATAAAATGCTGCAGGGTCGCCTCTTTGCATACGGAGATTCCCAGCGCCATCGTTTGGGCGTTAACTACATGCAGATACCGGTCAACTGTCCCTATAGGGTTAATGTAAGGAACTTCCAGCGGGATGGTGCAATGACAGTGACCGACAATCAGAGCGGAGCTCCCAACTACTTCCCCAACTCGTTTTGCGGCCCCAAGGAAAGTCCCCGGGCATTGGCCCTACAAACCTGTTGTCCTTTAACCGGAGATGTCTACCGATTTATGAGCGGCGATACTGAGGATAATTTCAGCCAGGTCACCGATTTTTGGACCTACACCTTGGACAACTGCGGCAGGAAGCGCCTCATTCGCAACTTATCCGAACATCTGACCGAGGCCAGTCAGTTCATACAGGAAAGGGCTGTAAAACTTTTCACCATGGTCCACTCCGATTTCGGACGACTGATGACTGAGGCGCTGAACACGGCCAGAATATCAAAATTCTAGGACACTTCGTCAATTTGTGAATAAGTGTTTATGGTATTATCGAAAATCAATGTAAATTAGGTTTAGGCCCTTGATAAAAAGAAATGTGATTTGGATTTCGTATATATATATATTTATTTCTTGTGAAGTACAACTGTCATCACTTTAACAGAAAAACAAGTAACAATTAAATCATAAAATAAAAAAAAATGTTTAAAATGTGAATTTTAAATTAACAACTGCGTTTAATAGCCTCGTTAAAGTTAATAAGGAAATGGGGTCTACATATTTTTCCACTTACACTTTTCTGGCCTTTGGGTGCTAAGTTGGTTCTTAGAAGTTCGAGCTGAAATTTTCTTGCATACTTTTCGGAGTTGACCTTGGTTGCTGGCAAGTGATCATATACCTAATCTGGTTACCCAACTGATCTGTTGACTGTGATTATCCAACCCGGATGATTATGCCCTTTCGGAGACCTCTCCGCACCACCACCCATCGAGATCTGTCATTAGCTAGCCGCTCTGTTTACATGCTACACACGTGTCCAACCGGGCGTTTCAGCACTTGATTGAATTCACCAAGTACAGTACGATTCATTATTGAACGTATCATTAACAGTTTCGAAAATGGAATATTGAAATATCACAGTCAAACTTCTATAACTTTTATGGCTTAAAGTCTTTACCCAAATAACCTTTTAAGAACACAGCACAAAATATTGAATATATTTAATATAATTATTTAATAATAATACCATAAAATCCTTTTCGTTAAAATTTTGAAAAAAGTATTTACACTTATATAACGCACTGTACTGCACACCCTTGATATAAAACCAAAAAGCTTGTTCGTCTGAAACGTTTAGTAAATAATCGTTGGCAAATGTAGTAAATGTTGCCAACAGGTTAGGCGACTTAAACGCAGTAACTAAGAACACAATAAACTTACTTAAAGCTCAATGGCCAGACGCAGTTCCTAACTATCGGTGTTGTTGTTGTTGTTGTTTGCTTAACTGCAGGGCTTTTATCAGTAGTTGTTTTTGTTATTGCCGAGTTGACCGCATGAATGAAAGCGAATAGGAAAAAAGGCAGACACACACTTGTTGATTTCTTTATGCGATTCCGTGGCTCGTTATAATTAACGTTTCTCCGTTTTTTAGTTTTACTTTTGTTGTTTTCTTTTTGGCACTACGACACGTTTCTCCGCTTTATTCGGGCGATTTTGTTTGGCTTTTGGTTTTTTATTTTTATTATTGCACTTGTTGCCGCCGCTGTGAATTTCATCTCGGGCGTTTTTAATGAGTGACTTTTTGCAGCCCAGTTGTATAACTAACCGCACTGCATATTCATTTATATCAATCAAAGCGGAATATATAGCTTATAAACATTGTCTTTGTTTTTGTGCCTTGCCGTTGCTTCTTTCAACGTCACTGGAATTCAACTACGGCTTCTGTGAGTTCCGTTACAAAAGCGCTCCTCTCACTTATCACTCTCTCTCTCTGACTCTCGCGCCACCCACTCTCTGTGCTTGCTCTCCCTCTCTTTCTCTCACACACACTAGAACGTAGATGTTACGTAGTTGTTTTTGCCAAACAAAAATTCCGTTTACTTTACAAGTTTAATATGCATTAATTGCATAAATGTGGCGTTTCTTCGAGAGGGCTGGGGAGTGTGCAATGCTCGATTGGCAAACTGCAGTTGATTGAACCCGCTCTCACACACTTGCACTCGTACACCCACGTACCAAGGAAAAGAAGAGAACCCGGCGCTCCAATTGACGATTGGGGACTGAAATCAAAGTCGCCAAATCGAACGAAGGAGGGGGTCAAAATATAGGAAAATAACAGCACATACAACACACACCGTTGCAAAAAGTGCAAATCGAGTGCGCAAAACAATTCGCGATAATATCACATTTTGTTGTTAATGTTCTGTTTGATAATGTTTAGAACGGAGCCACGCGAAAATAGCGACAAAGCAATTCCATCACGTTAATTTTTAGCGATCGCGACACTGCGCTGCCGTACTGTCAGTAAACTTGACGGTCCGGTATCACCGTTCCCATATGATGCAGCTTTTGACATTTCGAAGAGCTTTCAAAAGGCGCGCACTTTCAAATAGAAATGTTTACTTTATGTTTAAATCAAATAAAACGTATGCTTAAGAGCGCTGAATGTTTTGCAGAGTATTACAATAAACCGATTTTTTTTATTTTTTAATCATGAGAAAAGCCTCCCAAAGTATTAGATTTAACCAGAAACATTTCCTATTATATTCAAGCATATGTTAGAAAAATTTGTTTATTGAGATATTTTTTGCCAGCTAACTGGTACAGTGGGTCACTATGGGTATACATATACATAATTGGGGCTTTATATATAGTTAATAATTATTTTATATCTGAATGCGCTCTATGATTATAAAATATATGTATTTTAGTTGGTTTTCGCATTGTGTATGCACTAAAATTGTACATGTTTAAATATTTACAGTTATTTTAGCACATGTACCACGTGTATGGGGTTAAATAAATAATAAATTAGCATAAAGCAAGTTGCTTATAGCGATTATAGAGAGAGGGGAGCCGAATGCATGACTTTCTCCATAAGGTTATGAAATGCGCTCTCTGGGCGACGACATTTTAGTGGTTTTACACTCGTTTTATGTGGTAAATATATTATATTACGTATAGCTTTTAACTAGGTAGAAGAGTGTTCTCCGAATACGATTAGACACCATTAAGTTAGTGGGGGGTGGTCGTGGGTTAAGAGTAGAACGTAAATTGCACTAGGCCTTAGATTAGACATAAGCTTAAATTGTCACGTGCTGGAACTTGAATACAGGTACGAATTAGCAGCGGTCGCGGTTGTTGTACGCCTGAACCTTGGCCACCGTGCACTCGAGGGCGGCCCGAATGTCGGCGAACACGGGAACGCCCTGCCTCTTGGCCAAGTCGATCAGGTACGACCGTCCGCGATTGTAGTCCTTGATGGCCGCCACAGTCAGCTGTATAAGTAAAGTATATCATGAGTTTCTTTATACATATGAAATAGTTGATATTATAAGAAATGATTTGGCTTTTAAATAAGTAAATATATCCTTAATCATTTGTTTAACATCAATAGATAAACTCACCTTCTCGCCATTTAGAACACAGTCTTCGGGCAGCATCTGCACCGCCAGCACCACGTTGTACATGAGGCCGATGCAGTGGGCGGCCAGGGTCATGGGTGCCAGGGATCGGGTCTCGTTGGTGATGACGAACAGCAGCACGCGGCTGGAGTCGAGCAGCGACGGATTGTACAGACTCTGGCGGACGGCTACCGGTGGCAGGGACCAGCTGAGCGACTCCTCGGCCACGGTGAGCTCCTCCTGCTCCTCCAGCTGCAGCTGATTGCCGCGGCACTTCCGGCGTGTGCGCACAAATGATCTCTGCTGCTGTTGCTGCTCCTGCGGAGGAACTGTTGCTTGCTGTTGAGCCGCAGTGGTCTGCTCCTGGTTCTGGACCAACTGCTGGATGCTCTCGTGCAGCGCAGGCGTGTGGAAACTCACACTCTTCGACTGCAGAAAAGGAACGGCCAACTCCTGTCGCCATTTGGTGCGCAGCACACAACTTCCGCCAAGATAGACATCGCGCAGATCCAAGCCTCCACCGCAACAGAGGGCATCGCCGGCACTCGCAATGGAACTGCTGCTGGAGAAGACCGAATCGTTGGAGTCACTCTCCTCCTCCTCGGCGGGCACAACCACCGTGGATGCAGTCACCGGATTCGGCTTGGTCTCTATCGTTTTGGTGGTGATTATCTCGGTGGTCTCGATGGATTCCACATTGAGAAGGATCTGTGGCCGAGGGCTTTTGCCCGTCGGTTGCGGGGACGAGGTTCCACTGTCTCGACTGCGACTCAGTTGCTCGAACAGACTCTGTCGCTCCAAATCGTGACCGATTCCACTGCTGCTATTGGACGGAACACTGGCGTTGCTCGACGTTCGCGAAATATTCTTGCTGGCCGAGTAGTAAATGTCCACATCGGGAGCTGTTACAATAAATATCACATTAGTTTTTAATTATTAAATAATTATGCTATAAAGAACCGACCATTGGTGAAGTAAACCTGCGGCGGCGGCACATTGGTGCCCTTGATGGGCGAAATGCAACCGCTTTCGTGGATCTCCTGCTGCAGAACGGACAGATACGCCGAGATGACGCAGAACAGATCGAAGTCGATCAGCTCCTGGCTGGGCAGGATCGGCTGACTGCAGTTGCCGCCATCGGACTCTCCATCCAAATCATCTACGCCAGATTTTGTACTGTGCGTTTGGAGCAATTTCAGCGATTCGCGTTGGTTGATTATGATCTTAGTTAGATTGTCTAAATTAACTAAACTCTGAGCATAGCCTAGGAATAAGAGAGCACGTTTGCACTGTTCCACGGTGAGTAGATCGCTTTGCGGATTAACGCGATCGAAGGCGCCGCGAACGGTACTAAAACAGGTAAAAGAGATTAAGTTAAGTAACTATGTTGAATGGATAATGTGACTGGTTTACTTACTCTAATATAGAAGATATTTTGGACGGTGGATCCCTGATGCCAGAGAGGATATCCTTGGTGCGCTGCAGACCCAATGGTATGTTGTCCAGTACAGGCAGACCGCGACGGGAGACCAGCTCCTTAAGTATCAACTGGTTGCGATTCAAATCGAGGTATTCTCTGCAAGTAAAACGATGTTTATAATTTCCCTCTACTTCGTTTTTAACACTCAATACTTACTGCTGTGAAATAGGCTCGTTGAGGATCTTCTGATTTGGTTTGTACGGATGCAAAACCAACACCAGCTGCTTGCAGTTTTGACCCGCTATGTGTGCCGCCTCGATGGCACCAGCAGAAGCGCGTGTTTCCGAATCCATAACGAAGAATAGTACACGGGCCTTTTCCTTAGCTCGATGCTCGAGCTCGATGAGATCGGGCGTCCAATCGGATACTTGCTGTGTGGCAAAAGAATTTATAAAGTTAGTAAAATATCCTTAAAAGAATTCTCCTCTTTTGAGGCAAACTTACAGGATTGTAGAATGAAATTCCCAGTTCCTTGAGGGCTGGTATGGCAACGTCGGCTCGCCAGGTGGTAGGATTACAGGATCCGCCGAGGAAAACCTCAACGGGCTCATTGCTGGCGTTCTTCTTCTTTTTGGTATCATCCACACTGCTGAAGGACTTGGTACTCCGCAGTTCGGTGCCGTGGTTATCCTGTTTCTTGTTGCTGTAGGCAGGTGATGAGGTGGCGGCTGCTGGTGACTGCAGGTGTTGCTTGGAGGAGCTGGCAGGATCATCCTGTTCCGGGAGCAGCAGTCCCGAGGACAGAGACTGGTAGTCGCAGTACGCCGATTGATTCGAAATGGTTGAAGCTCTGTGGGTTGAAAAATCAAAAAAGGGGGTTAATTAAAACTTGATTTTACTTTTTTAATGGTAAATGCTTTAAATGATAAATTAATGATTGTTTCTTAATCAATTTATTAACGTTTTAGTTACCTGAAACGCTTCAGATCCGCGGCTAGAACACAAAACTGACCAAAAGTCAAGCCATTCGGCTGTCCACTTCCTCCCTTGCGGGCCACTTTCTTGGCAGTCTGCAGCATTTCGCTTACTACAAAATGTAAACTCGTTAGATATCTAATTAAAACCAGGTTATATATTTCAAACTCACTCTGCTTTTGGCTAGGATGGAAGCTTAGCTCGTGGAAGAGCTCCTGAGTCCGCTCGTCGGGCACCACATTGCATCTGGCCTTCGCTCGCCATGCATTCAGAACTTCTCTGTAAGAACAAAAGGAGAGAAATGATCAGTGGGAGCCACAAAATTGTATCTTTGCTTCGGATATAAAAATAAACTGCCCTGAGGTAATCATTTATTGAACGATTTATGACCCGGTTGCACAATTTATTGGTTTATTGGTGAGATTCGGTAAGCTAAAACGTAAAGGTAATAAATTTATATATAATTAAACCACTAAGTAAACAACAGATCAAATAAGGAACGTTTTAATGAAGCTAAATCCCATAATAATATTTGCATGTTTTAATTAATCACGTTGTGGTTGGGCACGACTGTAATTAATTAGGTTATTATTATAATTCAAAGAAATTTATCAATAAATCAAGTGAGTCTTTTGGATTTAATTTTAGAGTGTAATGCCTATAATTTTTGTATTCCAATTTCAAGCTTAAAAGGCGCTTCTGTTTTAAGATAAATAACTCACAAAATGCCCAAATAAATCAACTCGGGAAATTACTTCAAAAACTCGCCTCCTTATTTGGAGGGATTACATCAATGAACTCGCTCAAGGACGCAAAATCTGAAAAAATTCCGAGCTCCAAGTGGAATATATATATATCGAATAAATCGCTATTAATCAGAATCGTACGCCAGTCACGTTTCAGGGGGCGACACATGTTTTAAAGCCACCCGTTTGAGTCATGAAAGCGCGAAAATGGAAAAGCGAAAAACAAAGCCAAAAAGATATTCAGATGGAGAATATTACAAGATTTTCTGTGTGGCAGCGTCGTCGGTTCGATCTGCGTCTTCCGCCTTTTGACAAGATACCGTCATCGTCATCATCGTTAGCAACAGCAACAACAACACCATTGACAATTGCATCATTTGTGCAATGGAAATTTAAATATCGCGTATACGTAGCGTGTGCCAGCCACAATGGGAGAAAAACAGATTGGAACGGGATGGCGATGGCGATGGAGGGTAGCTAAATGGGTAATATTTATCGTATGTCGTCTGAACAAAATTGTTGCGGCGCAGTTACTTGATTTCCATTTTATTTCAAAACTTTTTCCTTTTTTATTTATTTGACTTGGTTCGGGCTTAAAATGGACAACGCAAAAATATATTTCATACACAATGTCGCTTATATTTCTTAATTTATCTTTTGCGTTGTTGACAACTTCCACACCAAAATATGAAATGTAATATATTGCGTAAATAGAAAAAGATTTTATTCCACTCTAGGCTTTTAACTCGAGCGATTGAGAACTACGACTGAACTTAAAATTTATTTTTCGTTTGAGCTAAGAATTATTTCATATAATTGCTGCCTTATCAATGATAGAGAGTAGAAATAGGCGGGTATTTGGTGAAATGACGTCAAGACAAGTGACAAATAGAAGTCGGAAAACAAATAAAAAGCTATAATAAAATCTATAAAAATTTTGGGTAAAGATTAAAATGAGATTAAAATGCAATTTTTTTGAGTTTTAAAATATTTGATTATGGTTGTTTACTCTTCAGACGAATATAAGCTTTTTATAAGCTCAACATCATTTTGATCTTATACTCAGCTTAAAAAACAGACTTCCCTTTTTACTATATTAGAGAACGCCTTTTTAATTTAAGCAAAATCATTGGCAAATCGCTCGTGCAAATATGAAATCATGAATGAGTAGCAACATTTTTGGTTTTATAGCTCAACAAACTTGTCTTTTAACTGTTTAGGCCGCTGCCCACTCAAGAAAAACATAAGCTATGCAACAAAGGGGCAAAGAAACTCTAGCAACCAAGTGACACATGTTGAACAGATCCAAATACCAGGTGATTATGTCAGAGGAAGAGAGTGGCTGGGAAGATATTGTGCTGTCAGCTTAGCTATTTAAAAGCCAGAACATATTTGAATTACATTACACATACATGAATTAATTATGCTGACAAAATCTATGTTAATAAAAAAAGAAATACATACAATTATTTAAAGAGTGAGTGCAGAAGTTCTTTACAATTTTCATTGCAAGAGTTAAGAGAATGTCCGGTGCATTGCCAAAAATATTTGTATTTTATTTTCCTAAAAATTCTTTTATTTTTAAAAACAATTTTCATTTGTAGTACCAATTTGGGTTCTAATCTCTGGCAGCACAGAGTAGCTGGCTAAGAGACAACCCAATACCAAGTGCAGGCGGCGGTCAAACTTGTCTAGATGCCAATTACATGACTGCATCAACCGACTAGGCACGCCCACATCCCCACATCATTCACTAAATTTGGCCTGGCCTCTCTTTGAGTTTTATTTTCTGTTCTGCTGGCCTTCTATTTTTGGCCAGCTTCTGCCTCTGTCTGCGCTTTGTGTGGGTGAAGTTGCGCCATATTTGTTAGGATTTTTCGTGTTTTTGGAATTTTTATGGCAAACAGACCCAGCAGCCGCAGAATTTATGCTTTGTTTACCACAAACACGGGAGTACCAGAGAGAACCATAAAGAGGAGGAGCAACGGCCCCCAGTCGATGATCAAATTTGGCTGTCGAAACATTTCCGGGAAGCGGGGGAAAACTGAGTTCAGTGCACACGAGGAAGTGCAGCATCAATAAAATGAACAGATTTTCGAATTTGGTCATAAATGTGCAAGCAGCTATAAAGACCAGTTTTTTTTTTCTTATTTGGATGTAAGCATGTGTAAGTGTATTTCCTGCTCTTCATAAAACATCAGCTTTGGATTTTAGAGGAACAGGAAAAGTATGATATTGTATCTTTAGTAACGATCTTGTAAAAAATCTTTGGAGGGAATTCATTAAGTCTTTGTCAATATGTCTTTTAAGAAACCCAAACAAATTTAAAGAGATTATCATGTTTCGAGAGCTTGAATTAATAGTAAACAAACAATGCACAGTAAAAATTCCGGGGTTCTTTCCATCGCTGTTCCGAATTTTAGACAGGTCGTTGATTTGGGATATCGGGTGATTCACAAGCGGTATTCATGATGAAATTGTGGAGCGAGATGGATTCTTAGAACCTGACACGATGAGCTACTAAAACTGCGACGAAATTTAGTGGTAAACAAGTTTTGCGTTCTCTTTTTTATGCTGACCAACCAAGTAGAATACCGAATAAACAATGGAACTTACCCCAAGAGAAAAGGAGGTACACATAAACAACTTATATGTGAAATTTGTGGTAAGCAAAAATGTCGGAGAGCCACCAGGCTACCGGAAATACGTTGTGACCCATTAAAAGGTAAGCAGATAAGGCCAACTTATTAAGCCAAGGTCCTCCCGCTCTTTGTCTCTTTATCTCGCCATTGCTTTAGGCCCTACGTGCTGGAGATAACGTTATAACATTTCTACATGAAGACAAGGCAATCTATAGCTCGCCTATCTCTCGATAACGAGACGAAATTGCCTATAATGAAATCCTAGTGTGGTTACACTTAGTATTAGCCATTAGGCCACACAGAGGAGATAAAACGCAAGTATTTGACATTTCAGAGTTGTGATTCATCCGATAGTAAAATATAATCACAGCTGATAAACAAATAAGCATGCAATATTTATTATTTCAATGAATGAATAGTGCCATCAATTAAGGATATCTGTTTCATAAATTAAGCTTATCATTTTTATGCAGCTTATGAATGAACTTTGATATGGCATCATTTTTCTTTTCTCTGCAAAAAGCGGATAGTTCTTTGTCGAACCATTTATCATAAACAGTACTATTTATTCAATGGTTTAAAAATTAATGAAAATCAAGTGTAGTGTGCTTGCAATATCCGAAATCCGACTTTATCCAGTCAGCTTATCAGCAATTTCCGCTGCCTTTGTCAATGGATAAACCACACAAACATGTCTATGGATCAAAGTATTAACCAGATCAGCATTTCCGCAAATGATGAATGGACTTTTCCAAGCACATCGCACACAACAATTTTGGCCCGGAGCCAAGCTGAATGACGTTGCGGTCAATGTACAATCTTACAGATTCCCATTAAGAATTGCATTTGTGGAAATGATTTCATTGACCCACGCTTCTCGACGAGTACCTTATAAATGAGTAATAAACAATTTCCGAATACAATTGAACAAAATGACAGAATGTACATTGAACTCGGCGAGTGAGCAAGGATGATTAAGTGTTGCTAGTTGCAGCAAAACACAACAATAAACACGCTATTTGCATTTAGCAGTTTGTTACCTCAGTGAGGAAGAGTCGTTATGACATCTCAGACGGCTAAAAGGCACAGCATCTATGAGTGGCTAAACATATATTTGCATTTAACAGCTTGTAAATCATTTGAAAAATATTTGAGTACAAGTTTATAGAACACATGTCAAGCACTCGCGGATTAATCAGCAGCAATCTATGCAAAGATAGAACAAAATCTCAAAGAGAGGTGTGTTTCACACTACACTCCTACAAAATGTAACACGTAAATAAAGGGTACTCATTTATTTGTTTAAGGTAACTGGTAATTCTCAATCAACAAGGTACTTAAATTTACTTGCTGTAGACTGTTTATACGATTTATTTAATAATATAAAAATATTAGGTTTTGAAATAATTCTTTTCTCTAAGTGTATGTTTGCACAAGACTTGTGGCGCCCTAACCAGCACACACACACTGCCATTGACTGACTCTCTGTTGGTAACAGGTAGAGCGAGAAAGAGCGAGAGGGGGCGTTGTGTGGGGCTAGAGGGGCTGGGGGAGGGGGAGCTGCAGCTTGCTCAGCGACGACTCGTTTCAATACAGGCAAACAAACACACGCACACTGGCACAACTCACCCGGCAATAATCGATGATGAGGTCATAACTAATAATAAAAATGACGCTTACTCACCAGAGAACTGAAGCCGAACAAAGAGCGCCAGCTAAGAGAGAGAATTTCTCTTGGCGAACAGCTGTTTTTGGTGGGCCGGCCAATGCAAACAATCTTGGCAATACATATCTTTTCTATTTAATAAGCGTTATCTGCTATCTTCCGCTACTCTCGCCAAACTTTTATCAATGAACTGTCTCGAAGCGTAATCACAAGCTCTTTGAACTT